CCCACCTGCCATATCTCCATCTCATTGCACGTGAAGTTCATGGACTGCGCCAATGTGCCGCTGCCCTTGCTGTCGATCGAGCAGCTGTAGCCGTTCGGCAACAGGTCTTTCTTGATCCACTGGTGGCAGCTGCTGAGGTCGGCCGCCGGACCAGGCTGAGCGAATCCGAGCCACAGATAGCCGCAAGCGATGCTCATATTCGCACGCGGCTCGCCCTTGTCGGTCTTCACCACCCCCTGTGTGCCGGCCACCTCCACCGACTGCCTCTCCTCGGATATCTCGATCTTGGTCGGCGTCTCGTACGCACCCGACAGCGAAAAGAAGAAGACGGTCACGTCGTAGAGGTTGGTCTGTAAGGGGTCATCTGGCGGGGTGAGAGGGCCGTCGACGAAGCACCCGAATCTGTGTGAGTCGCCATCGCGGAGGGCGAAGAGTAGGCCGCTCTTGCCCACCACCTTGTTGAGGAAGGGGCCATACCCAAATCCGTCACGACTGGACCTGATCCACATGAACACAAAGACAGACTGCCGTCCAGACGCACCCGGCTGTGCCAAAGCTCACTTGAAGAGGCGTGTAGTGGTGACGTTGTGCTTGCCCGTCGCTTCGATGATCCATTGCAGCTCATCCGCCCACAGCACCGGGCTGTTAGCAGTCTCCATGCTGAGGCCGTACATGCCACAGTCGACGGCCAGCTGCTGCTGATTCTGGGCGGTCGGTGGCTTGACGATGCTGCCGGGCGATACACAATGCTGTCGGCGAGCGAAGTCGACCACATTCGTGAAGTGGTCGGGGCGGATACAAGACACACTCGCACCACTGCAGACACAAGAGAAGGACACAGACATGACGATTGTGCCTCTCCCATCTGTCTGGTGTTGTGTGACCCACCTGTGGAACGTCGCGTAGAGTCGTTTGTCGCGGCCGGCATGCGCCAGTGTGGCCTCAGTGGTCGACACCGTCTTGCCCAGGACGCGCACACTCCTTATCTCGTCATCTCCATCTGGCGACTTGAAGAATGGCCCGATGGCCCTGTGGAATCTCTTGAGCTCTTTCTCAGCTTCGACCAGGTCGGTCATGGCCGCCTCGACGTCTGACGCGCTCGCCTTGATGATGTCGATGGGGTTCTTGCTGGTCGCTGCTGCTTCGGACTCGTCGGCGTCCTTGGTGACTAGGGTGCCGAGGCCGGTCTTGGTGGAGAAGAAGAGCTCGTGCCAGAAGAGCGACGACACGTCGGTGTCGTGTGGAGGGTTCAGGACGATCTCGTGGCTCTCGCCCTGCGCATCAGCCACACCGACGTTGGTAATCTCATCACGCAACCTGATTGACACGGAAGAACACACAAGAATAAGAACCATATGTACCCTCCCTCTGTGTGTGCGTGTTGCTTGGCTCACCACTCCAGGTAGACTGGATCGGCGTCGAGGAATGGGCGGCCCTCTGTGTCCTTCGGCAGCCCATCCAGATGGTACAGCAGCAGGTAGGCAATGACGCTCTCACACACGCCGGGCAGCAGCAGCGGCTTGCGAGGCACACACAGCACCGTCCCACCCACATTGACCTCAATCTCCCCATCGAGCGGCCCAGTGACTGTCAGTTGCCCGCCATTGTTCGTCCTCAGCTCGTTGACGATGCCTGCCTGTTTCTCCAGCTCAGCCACCATCCGCTTGGCTGCATCGATGCCTCGCATGGTTGCCGGTGATGCGAGATGGGGAGGGAGAACCACAGATGAGTCGCGCGAACCATTCATCGTTGCAGGAATACGCGTAGGAATACACATTTTTTGTGCGAGCTTTGCGCGCGTCTGCGAAGGACGACGTCCGAAGATACTATCCATCGCCCTTGAGGTCAAACTGATGCAAATGTCACATGCACATGGCCTATGCACCAATCAATCATCTATCTCTCCTATCGCGGCGATGCACCACCACCACCAGCACCCGAGAGAATCGTCAGTGTACGAGAGAGGCCTGTCAGCGAGCGGGACAGCTGCCTGAACGTCTGGGTGCTCTGCCGCCGCGCCAGGTACTGCCCCTCCTCCAGCAGATAGTTGGCCGTCTCCGGCACGAACAGGTGCACCCACAACACGCCAGCCAGGCACACACCGGCAAAGATGTACATGGTGGTTGAGAAGCCGATGGCCTCCTTCAGAGAGAGGAAGTAGAAAGTCAGGAGAGCCACCGTCACCCGGTTCAGCAGCGTCAGCACGGCGTTGCCCTTCGCCCGCAGCTTCAGGGGCAGGACCTCGGCGCCCACGACGTTTTCCATCGGCCCCATGCCGAGAGAGAATGCCGAGCACAGAAGGATGAAGGCCACCAGGGCGAAGTATCTGAATGGCATGGCGCGTTTTTCCGATCGATACTCCTTGAGTGTGAGGAAGTAGGGCGTGACGCCGAGGTGACCGTAGCTGACGGTCATCATGAAGAGGGAGAAGAGCAGTAGGGGTCGGCGGCCGATGATGTCGCACAGGGCCATTGCGATGCAGACGGCCACCACTTTGCCTGCAGCCATGACCGTCTGCAGAAACCAACACACGCAGATAGAGAATGCAGGGCCCTTCATTATCCCTCTCTCTCTCTCTCTCTCTCTCTCCTTTCGGTGCCCGTGAGAATCATGGCGCGGTCAAGTCCCAGCTCTCCGAGCAGCAGCTCGCTGTAGTTGACCATGACGTCAGCAGCCACCAGCTGCTCAAGTATCCCCAGGCCCAGCGCCACCAAAACCGCACTCCGGTACTCCCGCCGCGGACACAGCACCTGCACATAGTCCTTCACCCGTAATGGCGACCGATCGTGACCGTTTCTCCCCCTCTCCACGGCTATCTCCTCCTCAAGCGTCGCCATGGCCATTCTGGCCTCGCCAGGCGAGCAGAAGGCTTGGATGGGGCTCATGGCGTCGGCTTTCTTGTCTCGGGTCATGGGCCACCTGGGTGACTCGGGCAGATAGGGGCAGAGAATGAGAGCGATAAGAGCGAGGAATCCGCCGAATGCGAACACCACTCGCCAGTCCTGTGTGCGTGGGAGGTTGCTGTGCGCCACTGCATTGCTGGTCAGGAAGCCGACGAACAGGCCCACATTCAGCGTCACCTGTGACACACACACCCATACGAGATGCCAACAGAGACTCATGCGTCTCTTGTCGGGCGGGTGTGTCTTTGCTCACCTCTGACAGAGATATGATTGCTCCCCTGATGGCCGCAGGAGCCACTTCAGCCGCATACACGGGGCACACCAGAATGGCCTTCATACATACATACAGAGAGAGAAAGAGAGAGAGAAAGAGAGAGAGAGAAGGAGAGAAAGATGAAGCTGGATGTGTGTGCGTGTGTCTCCCTCTCTGTGTGTGTATGCCTTTCCCCACTCACCAGCCCCATCCCAGCCCCAGCAAAGGCCCTGCCGACCATCAGGCTCCACAAATCCCACGCCACGCACACAATGAGGCAGCCCTGCAGGTAGGCCATGCTCGCCACCACCACTGTCCCTCTCCTGCCCAGCCAGTCCATCAGCTGGCCGCCGGCAAAGGCAGCCACACACGCCACTATCTGAGGGAGGGCCACAACCCGCTGTGTGACGGCCGAGTCGTCCTGGAACCCGAAGCTCTGCTGCATCGACACGATTGCGTCCCCGATCACGGCGTTGTCGAAGCCCTCGATGATGGTGATGAGACAGATGCCCCCCACCACGTAAAAGAGCGGCCGAGTGAGTGTGGTTGAATCGGACGGGAAGAGGACGTCTTTGTCAATCAGGGGCTCCTCCTCCTCCTCTTCGCGCGGCTCCCGTGACGGCTGCGAAGCGGCAGCGACAGAGAGTGAGACGGCGGCCGGGCCTGGTGGTGGCCCTGCTGCCGGTGATGGGGGCGGCGGTTTCGGCTCTCCCGCAGACGCGTCGGGCGATGGGTGAGGTGGCTGGGCTGCCTCGCTTTGCAGAGGGCGGAAAGGCTGACCCTTGTCGCTCTCTCGCTGCTCCATCCCGCATCCACGACCTGGTCTTGAGCTAGTGGGGGCCCTGGGGGAAAGATGAGACTCGCTTGAGACTCGCAGTCTCGGAGTCTCAGCGTGAGAGCCAAAATGAGGGAAATGGAAGTACACATACGACACGCAGGGACAGGCAGACAGATCTGCACTGACGGAATGGAAGACAAGCTCCACTACAGCAAAAAGCCAGCGGGACTGCCCCGCCCACTCGTCAACGAGGGATTTGTTTGCTAGTACAGTGGTAGGCGCAGTCTATTGCACGTCCGTATATGTGTGCACGTCGCGCGTCGTGTCTTGCATCGGCCGATCAGCCCACCGGAGTGATCCTCATACAAAGAAAAAGGGGTGAGGCACACACATTACGATGTCATTCCCGCTTTGCTGTTCCGTGTGGGAGGCGTCGATTAGAAAGCACACATCTGTCCCGATATGTCCTGTTGCGGCCGTCAAGCCCAGTTCGGTCTATCTCTTGAATAAAGGCACGGTGCGGCAGCGAATGTCAGGGTAGAGATAGTGAATAAGTCAAATTGACGAACCATGCACCCTTCATAAATAACTACCCACCCACCCACCCAACCCTCCCACCACCCACCCACAACACACAAACGGGGAGCTAAGACATCTACTAGGAGAGTAGCCAAGAGGACGACACACATCTTCCCAACACATCCACACAGTACCAGGCTGCCCCAGGCTGAATAAACGACAGTGCCCTTCTTGCTCATTGTGCACCACCAACACGTCCGTCCATCTATTTCCCGCCCCGAAGAGGCAGACAGCTCATGAAGCTCCAGCGCTTCCTCGGCCGACCCCCAACTGCAGGGTGCGCTGCTGCCGCTTTGGATCGGCAGCCCCTGCTGCCGGTCTCAACATGCCACACCTCCAGCTCACTGCAGGTGAAGTTCAGGTACTCCGCCAATATGCCGTGGTCCTCCCCAGTGTACCCCCCGGTATACCCCGCCGGCAAGTGTTTCTTCGCCATCCACTGTTGGCAGCGGCTGAGGTCGGCCGCAGGACCTAGATCACCGTAGCCCAGCCACAAGACTCCTCCAGCGCCACCGCGAGCGATGGCCACATTCCCACGCGGCTCGCCCTTGTCGCTCTTCACCACCCCACTTGTGCCGGCCACCTCCACCACCTGACTCTCTGAGGGTAGCTCGATCTTAGTCGTACGCTCATAGGCGCCAGACAGCGGTGGGCCTATGGTGGGCAGCGAAAAGAAGAAGATGGGAACGCGGCATATGCCGCTCGTCTTAGTGGGGTCTTGTGGCGGTGTCAGTGGCCCGTCAACGAAGCAGCCAAATCGGCGGGTGTGATGCTTGATGGCGAAGGGCAGGCCGCTCTTGCCCGCCACCTTGTCAAGGAACGCCTTGTACTTGAAGCCGTCGCTGCTAGACCTGCCATACACAGCACACGGCGCATAGAGAAGGTCAAATGAGTCAAAGGGATGGCTGCTCACTTGAAGACGAGCGACGGCTTGCAGATGGATGTGTGGATCATGTTCAGGACGGCCACCCACTCGTCTGCCGACTTGATGATCCACTCGTTGCCCGCCGGCAGATCAACGGGCGGCGAATACGAGTAGGAGAGGCCGTACTGACACAGACAATATCGACACAGACCAGATGTGACCGACCGGCAAGCCACAATAGCACTCAGACTTACCATCATGAGATCCTCTTTGAACAGCCCACACTCGCTCTCCTCCATCGCTGGGGGCCGCACAAATTGCCCCGCTGGCATGGTGCCGCCGATCCGACGAGCGAAGTCGACTGTGTTGACAAAGTGTCGGGTGGGCGTCTGACGCACTCGACGGTCACCCCAACAGGGCGGAGTACTGAACACCACACAAACACATAACAGAACAGCTCACATGACCCTCTGTGTGTCGACCTCTCTGTTTCTGCTGTGCCCGCCCACTTTGAGAATCGCGTGAGCAGAGGGTGGTCACTGCCAAGTCGCTGCAATGTCCGCTTCAGCATGCTCACCTTCTTGCCGAGCACTTCCAGGCTCAGCACCTCCACGTCACCATCGTCCTGGCCCTTCATGAATGGCTGCATGGCCGAGAAGAATCCCGAGAGCTCCTCCCTGCCCCTTGTGAGCCTCTTCATGAGCCTCTCCAGCTCACCCAGCGACTCCTCGACGACATCCGCAATGGCCTTGTCCTTCCCATCGCATGCCGTGCCATCGAGATTCGGCGTGACGGCACCGCTGCCCTTCTGTGGCAGAGCTTGAAACGGCGAGAGCGTGCGCATGAAGAGGGCGTGATACTCGTTGTAAGCTGGGTCGGATGCCTTGGATGCCGGCAGCTGGACAGTGTCGGTGCGGTTAGTCTCGTAGAGAGTAAGCCCGTCCAGAAAGGCCTCGAAGTATGCCGGTGACACCTCCAGATAAAATTGCCCGCCTTCGTCTCTCGGGAGTGCATCGGGGAAGCAGAGCAGCAGGACCGCAATGTACCGCCGCTTGATGAGCTGGAGAGCGCTACGAGATACAGGGAACAACACTCCACCTGTCGATTGCACAGACACACACACAGCAAACCAAACCGGTCACACAGTTAGTAGTGCCAGCGCCTCTCTGGTGTGTTTTCTGCCTTGCCTGCATTGATCAGCATCTCCCCACTGGCAGAGGTCTCCTGCAGAGCTTCCCTTTGCAGCAACGAAGCGTGAGATCTCATCCGTGAGAGTCGTCTTGGCGCTTCTCAGCCGCTCGAACGACGCATCGAAGGCGTCACCGACACTCTCGCACCCCGTGAGCAGCCTGAGCACCGGATCCTCCTCCATGGCTGCCGTGTCCTGCGGCTGCCTGAAACACAACGTGACGCAGATTCTTCATGGTTTTGCGCATCTGAAGGTGCGATGTGATGGAAGATGCCTGCTGCCTTACCAATCACTGCCCTTCTCCTTCTTGGCGTTTGCGAGCTTTGATTGCGACAATTCATCCAAGTCTCCGCCCCCACAGCCCACCCGGCGCATGCATGCAGGTGTCCATGTGGACTCTACGCCGCTTCCTGTCCCTTTCCCTTCTACTCGCCACGCAATGGGAGGCCGGGCGCGTGCAGGCACTGTCCGCCGGACAGGGCAGAGTCGCGTGGAGGAGCAGGGGCGTCCGGCAGGGCGCCGCACCATCCCTCATCGTCAAGCGGCGGGCGGCCATCCACCTGAAACGCAGGCGGTTTCCGGCAGCCCACTCTGTGTCTGCGTCTGTGTCTGCGGGCGAGTACGACGAGGCGGCCATGTGTGCCGACAGCCGGACCATCAATGTGACATCGACGCCTGAGACAGTCGTGGAGGCCGTCAGGTTCATCTGCTCCAGGCCTTACGTCTACTGCAACGTCCAGGGTGGGTGGCCGATACGTTTGCACTGTCCAATCCTCTCGTCGGTGTGTCTATGTCTCGGTGCGTGTCTGTCTGTCTGTCTGGGTGTGCAGATCAGCTGCACACGATGGGCAACGATCTGGGCGCCCTGCGGCAGTTCTGGGGCGAGTTCAAGTCGGAGAAGCTGGCCGAGAGCAATGTCCGGCTGGTGTACGAAGCCAAGAAGGAGTCACAGGAGAAGAAGAAGAAAAAGCCAAAGATCAAAGAGGTCAGGATCGGCGAAGATTACAAGCTTCGTTGCGCGACGGGCGCCAACGGCGTCGTCATCTTCGCAACCATTGTGCCCGGTGAGCCAGTCAGTCAGTCAGTCAGTCAGAGATCAATCAATCATGATCAGTCGACCGATGTGTCTCGCTGTTTGTGTTTCTCCTGCTGTGTGTTTTATGTCAGCGTGCAACTATGAGATTCGCGACATGAGCAAGGCTGCCGGTGGCGTGACGATACCGCACGACAAGGGTGTGGCTGTGGCCATCAAGGCATCACTGCACGGGGCGGCGGAGGGAGGCAAAGGGCCCACCAAACAAGACCGGGCTCTCAAGGGAGAAAAAAAAGGCACACACACACACACACACACAGAGAGAGAGAGAGACCTTGGTGTTGGTCGTCTTGTGTGTGTGTCGTCATGTCGTCAGTGTATGAAAAGCTGTGGACGGCGATAACTGACGAGCGGGAGGAGCCCATTGGCGCGGAGGCGGAACGCAATCCTGAGTACTCGGAGTCGCTCAAGATGCTGCGAGTCGCGTACCTGGCCGGCGATTTCCCAAGGGTGCGTACTTCATCATGGCAATCACAGCAAGACCGACTGTGTGTCTCGCCTCTGTGCGTGTCGGTCTGTTTGTCTGTCTGTCTGTCTGTGTCTGTGCAGATCCCGTCCTATTATGTGGTGCATGACGCAGTCTCTCGCAAGGAGGAGGCCATGAAAGGTCAATGCACACACGCAACCATGCATTCACGCGTCTGTTGTGTATTGGTGCCCGTGCGCCCGGTGTATACCAGATTATCTGATCATTGAAATCCTCCCCCTGGCGAGGACAATCAACAAGGGCCTCGAGAAGATACAAAAACTGCCGACGGTGAGGCATCCATCCATCCATCCATCCATCCATAAACGCGCCATTTGGAGGCGGGCGTGTGTGCTGTTTTGCGTGGATAAGGGCGAGACCATTCCTATTGGGTCTCTGCTGATGATGGGCATGGCAGAAGTGGCCATCCAGATGCAGAAAGTCGGCGTGCACCACTGCGATATGCACGGTGAGTGGGGAAAGGCATACACACACAGAGAGGGAGACACACGCACACACATCCAGCTTCATCTTTCTCTCCTTCTCTCTCCTTCTTTCTCTCTCTCTCTCTCTCTGTGTGTGTGTGTGTGTGTGTGCGTGTGTGTGTGTGTGTGTGCCGCCAACCGGCCAAACGCCACGCGCCGCAGTGAACGAGAGAAAGCACACACACACACACACACGAGCTTGCACGAACGTGTCCGCCGCGTGTGCTCTCGGTAATGTGTGTAATGTGTGTGCTGCAGTCCGGCAATTTGAAAAACATGGCCATTACGCCATTGACCAAGACCAACGAAAGCACCACCGTCTCCTGGAAGACCACATATGACGTGTGTGAGCGTATCCCTCTGTGTATGCATACCACACGCAGGCAGACAGACAGACAGACAGAGACACAGAGACACAGACCACCAGTGCGCTGTGTGCGTTGCATGGGCGCAGTTCGTGTACATGAATTTCCCCCCCAAAGCGAGCGACATGGCCCTCATCGGTCGGTTGGCCAAACACACATACGCACACATACGCGACCCTCACCCACAGATGGTTGTGGCTGTGCATCTGCGCAGATTTTTCGTATCTCTTGATGGACGCGGAGGCACCAGAGAGATGGACCAAGAGGTGCCCATGCGCCACGGTCGTATCAGTCACGGGCGGCGTCAGACCAGATGACTCTGTAGAGGCGCGCAGGCATGTCACACACACACGCGCGCGCGCGCGCGCAGAGAGAGAGTTTGTGTGTGCAATGGATGCAGCCGGCTGGTGGACTTGTGCACGTCGATGAGCAAGTCGGAGACGTACGTCAACGGCGGATACACGGCCGCGTCGCAAATCGCCCACCTAGTCGAAAACGACGCCAGCCTCTCCTGCTTTGCAATGACACAAGGTATGGCGTCCGTAAGTCACCACCACAGGTACAGAGAGACCGCAAAGGCATGTGTCTGTGCAATGGACGGATGGATGGGTGGCTGCACTTACTGCAGCAGCTGACGCCATGGAAGGAAACAGAATCACGAGGGAGAAGGAGTACTGCCTCGACGACAGCAACTTCGCCGACATGCGAGACCCGGCCATCGAGTCGCCCTGCTCGAGGCCCGGCCAGGAGGCCTTCTGGCAGACAGTCAAGGAGATGGCTTATGAGGACGTCAGGGCACGGCCACACAAGCGGCGAAAAGAGACAAAAGGCAGACGCAGATGAGCACCGCCTCAAGTGATTGACCGAGGGCCGGCCGGCCGATGGATACAAACAGCAGGTAGAAAGGGAAAAGGGCAGACAGACAGCGGGACGGCCCGTGTGGCTATTTGTGTGCGTGTGTGGGTGGTCTGTGTGTGTGCGTTTTGCCAATCAAGTGGGTGGACAAAAGCGATTGATTGACAAGAAAGAAGACTGAATGGTCTGTCTGTCTCAGTCAGTCAGCACACATTCCCTCGATCATGCAATGCATGGAGAGACAGACAGACAGACAAACGTCTCTCTCACTGCACAGAGAAATTGCGGATGTCGTTGATGGCGTCATTGGACACGGGGGATGGCTCCACGCTCTCGAGCAGCTCATAGTTGAGCCGCCCCACCTCTCTGAACACACGCATCACGTCGCCCTCCGCCGCACCACATGAGCCGCCTGGCGGCCGCTCATGCACAAAATAGGCGTTGAGGCGCTCTTTGAGACCCTCAACGCACCGGGCCAAGTCATGGTTGTCGGAGTAGATTGTACACCAACGGCTGCAATGCATGACGACAAGCCACACACCACACACGACAATAGGTGGGTGCACCCACAGGTGGTTTGTGGAGCATCCAGCAGTGCGAATGTCAGTCACCTGCAGTGGTCGGATGCAGCTGCTAATGCGGCGTCCTGGTGGGCATCGGCCGCCTGCGCGTGCCGCGCAGCAATGGCCATCTCCCGACACCAATCGAACCGAAACCTGCAGCGAGTGAGCGCACCGACGCACCACATAATCAAATCGAGTGTCCGCACCCCAACCGCTGGCTGCACTAGCGTACCGTACGTACCACAGGAAGCTGACGATGGCGGCCACGCCCAGCATGACGCCCCTCGTGCCGCACGTGGCCAACAGGAAGTCACAGAAGTGGTGCGTGGTCTTCGACGCGCTCTCGGGCGGCAAATCTGCAGCCAACCAGCAGACCACATTCACAGATATGGGGGCCCATGTGCAGTGCATTGCTTGTCACGGTACGTACCGCTGCTGGCGTCTTGTGCTGACTGTGTTGGTGGCTCGAGCTCATGCAGGAGGCTCTCCTGCCGCCTGTACAGATCCCGTGTGACAGAGGCCGTCCTCTCGAGAGTGCTCCTCAGTGCACTATCGCTCTGCCCTTCGCCGCATCGTTGAACAAGCACAGATGCGGCCCTCGAGACCGCCTGAAGTACCGGCGTGTCTTCCGCCAGGAACCTACAGATGCGCATCGACAAGGACAACGAATGCATGCTGTGTGTGCTCGAGTGTTTGGATGAGTCGCTCCATCCCGTCCGTCACTTGATGAGTTTGCTTGTAGGCAGCTGTTTGTCAGTCAGGTCCATCGACCAGCCCTGCTCCGTAACTCTCGTGAAGAAGCCCGCCAGGTGATACCACCCTTGGCTCGTGCGCGCCACAGAGCCCATCCTAATCTACGCAAGCTGTATCTGATCTGCCTCGACCGACCTGGCACACACCACACGTTGTCACAAAGATAGCGACAACACAATGAATGCGATGAATGCACTTGGGTTTGGACACGAGCAGCTCGCCTGTCCGCCAGCTGTGATCCTCTTGTTCGCACCGGATCTCCGGATGTTTCGGTCGACGGGTGTCGCAGGATCACGTGGATAAAGGATGGTGAAACCATATTAGGCAGCCTGCGGCCTTAGTGTAGTGGATTAACACATCGGCCTCCGGAGCCGGGGGTCGTGGGTTCGAACCCCACAGGCCGTATTGTTTTGGCGCCTTATGCGTCCTTTCGCCCCACGGCTCGACGTTGCTCACGCTTACACTGCAGAGACTCCGGGATCTGCTTGAGTAGGGGGCGGAGACTTGGATGAATTGTCGCTGTCGAAGCTCGCAATCGGCAGAAGGAAGCCCCTCTCCCAGAAGGAGAAGGGCAGTGATTGGTAAGGCAGCAGGCATCTTCTTCTCTCACGTCGCACCTTCAGATGCGCAAAACCATGGGGAATCTGTGTCACGTTGTGCTTCAGGCAGCCTCAGGACACTGCAGCCATGGAGGATCCGGTGCTCGAGCTGATCACCGGGTGCGAGAGTGTCGGTGACGCCTTCGATGCGTCGTTCGAGCGGCTGAGAAGCGCCAAGACGACTCTCACGGATGAGATCTCACGCCTCGTTACCGCCAAAAGGGA